TCTAAAGATGTCAGGCAAGAGACAAGTGGGTAATAGCAGGAACTGAGATGTAGCCCAGCTGGTAAAGTAATTGTCTTACATGCACTAAGCCCTGTGTTCATTTCTCAGCACCACATAAAGCCAGGTGTGGTGGTCCACCTGTAATCCCAGCACTTGGAATATGGAGACAGTAGGTTGTAAGTTCAAGGTCACCCTCAACTACATAGTAAGTTTGAGGTCAGTCTGAGATACAGGAGGTCCTGTCTCAAAAACACCAAAAAATAAAACAGGATAGACAGATGGCTTAGTGGTTAAGAGCACTTACTGATCTCCAAGACTGTCTGAGTTTAATTCCCAGTACCTACATCAAACAATTCTTATCTTCCTGTAACTCCGGCTCTGGGGGGATCCAATCCACATGTGCACATAGACACACAAACACAGAGAGAGAAAAAGAGAGAGAGAGAGAGAGAGAGAGAGAGAGAGAGAGAGAGAGAGAGAAATTAAAAGTAAAAAAATATCTGCCTTCTACTTCTAGTGCCAAGTCTGGTCTCACAAGTCCACTGTAGTTCTGGGAAAAGAGAAACACAACAGTTGGTGTTTGGGTTTGTGACTCTCCTGGCATGCACATTCCACTGCAGAGACAAAGGAAATGCAAAGAAGCTAAGACCCAAGGATAAAGTTAGTATCTACAAATGTGCCTCTTCCAAACTAAATAAAGTCACGGTGTCAATTATATAGTAATGGAAAGGGTATGGTAATCTAGATAAAAGTGTTCCATCACCTTCTGGAGTAATACTTACCTGGAGAAATGAATAGACGGCATTCATGAAACTAACTAACTCTTTCTAATAGCCCTCGAAGCTAAGTCAAATATGGAGCTGAAAACTCTGTTCATATAGTTTATCAATTAGAAGTTTGTGTTTGATGGTCTAAGATAGGCATTGATAAACCATGGCCTTGTAACCATACTTGGTTTTGTAAGTTTTTATTGTAATATGGCCACTAGGCTCATTCATTTAGGCATTGTTTTCTGATGGTTTTAAATTTCAACAGAAGGACTAAGAAGATTTTAATCAAAAAAAAAAAAAAAAAAAAAAAAAAAAAACGAAACAAAAAACCAAAAGCATTTACTGTCTGGGCCATTATAGAAATCTTGCCAACATAATCACCAATGATAAGTCTACACTCTATAGTGTTGATTGATCTACATTCTATTGTAGTCAATTGATTTATGAGGGTCACAAACGTCCATCCCTCCCCAACAAAGAAATGTTTGTAAAATGATGGTTCATACATTACATACATTTTCCTAGGAAAGAGGTTCTAGTTTTCAACAGTTTCCCAAGAGAATTATTATTTAATCAATTAAGGCCATAGAAAACAAAAGACTATCTTTAGCTGTCAGTACATTCAACAGTGTTTTAAATGAATAAAGGTCCAAGGAAAGAGGACCATATCATCTCCAGGATGAAGTGTCGTGTCCATTCATCTTGTTTGTTAACTCTTTCTTCAGAGACCTACTTGGGAATTTTTTCCATCCAGATGTCTATTTTCAGTGGCCTGGTTGAAAAGTGTCCCTTCCTTTTGAAAAATTTAAAAAACAAAAAAGACCTTGAAGGTGACATTTATCCAAGTATCACTTCACTCGATACCTCCATAAAAGCAGGCAGTTCCTTGAGCCAGAAAATCCCCCTTTGAGTCAGAACTTTCTGACAAAATCCTAGTGTGACAGAAATTCACTTCACTAGCAAAACATCCACCCTGATGAATTGAGTGAATACATACATAAACCTTATTTTCAAGGTCAGAGAAAGGAATGACCACCACCTCCCATGATTAATAGAAACTGTGAACTAGATATGCATTGCAGTTTTAAGACAAAAACTGTGTTTTTCCTAACACTCCCAAATGTTACCCCTCTGAGCAGAAGTAATGAAAGTCTGGAGAGAACTAAGACATTTCCAGGTTAGACTGACATGTTAGCCCTTCTCCATTTCTCTGTGTTGACGGAAGACACTAGAACAAGTTTATTAAGAGAATCGAGGAGACTGTCTTGATAACAGTCTCCTCTCCTCTAATGCAGACCATTGCCTGTTTCTATCACATTCTTTTTTAATATTGCATATGTGTGATCTGCATATGTGTTGTATGTGTGTTGTGTGTACTTTTTGGTGTGGGTGTATGTGCCTATGTGGGGAGGTGCACATGCATTTGAGTATTTAGAGACGAAAGGCCAATGTGACGGGTCTTTCTTTAAACTCTTGCCAACTTTGTTTTGTGAGACAAGGTCCTCCTCTCAGCCTAAAGCTAATACATTTGGCTAGACTGGCTGGCCGGCCAATGAGCTTCAGGATACACCTGGTTGCCCTCCCCTCCCTCCCTCTGCCTACCTGAAAGTGGGGTTGCAGACACCATGCCTGGCTTTCCCATCAATACTCAGGATCTGAATCTGAGACTCCATGCTTGCTCAGCAGACACCCTGCCTCCCAAGCCATCTCCCCAGCTCTAGACGCTTCGTTTCTACACTATGATATCTGGCAGTGTCAAGTGATGAAGGGCAAAAAAATGGTTCTGGTCTTTTAACTTCATAATTAACAAGGCAAAGCAACTGAAAGTATCAACAAAAGAGTCAATGAAACAATGTGTCGGGGAGGGGGAGGTCAATGACTGAGAACTCAGTTTTGAAGGTGGCTGGCCAAAGACTGAGCAAATATCGGTATCGCCTATGTCCAGCGTCCGCGAGCCTTCAGCTGAAATAACTCACAGGCATGGCAATAGATTATGAATTGCTAGGAGGAACAGTGATATCTGGCTGAGGTGGTTAAAGAGCTACTATGGAGCAGCTTGGGCCTAATTGTTTGATACACTTAAGTATCCAGTATCTTAGCCTACAGCATCAAACACAAAAAGTTACTGAGACGGCTCACCAATGGCACCATAAATATGGAAACTTTGGTAATCTTTGGCATGGGAGACTTTTTGTTAGGCTTGGAAGATGGTCAAGAACTAGAAACAATCCATTTTGACTATATCCATACACACTCTTCTCTATTTCAGAGGACCATCTCATTCTGACTTCACCAGTACCCTCAACCCTGGGTGGTGGGCTTAGGAACTCATGAGGGTTTTTCATTTTATATTTTTTCCTTTTTTTTCTTTAAAGTAATAATTCCCAGGCTCTACCTGGGCCAGTTAATTCCACGTCTCTGGGGCCGGGACTTCAGCACTTACCCAGGCTCCTAAATGGCTCCAAAGTACAGCAGACTTGAACCAGCTCCTCTTCCCAATAGGGTGTTTTACAAGATCTTGCCCTGGGCTCACAGACCAGACCACATAGGCACAGACCAGACCACAAGTGCAAAACGTGCTCTTGTAATATTTCACAGTCGGAAACCAATTGAGACCAATCCAATCCAGACCAGAAAGACAATACACTTAAGGAGTTTCACGAGAAGCCCTAAGAGGGAGGATTCCCCAGGCTTTTCCCCCTTTACTTTCTGCTCTCTTCAAATGTGTGACTAGAGCAGGAAGATAGATGTGATCTCCTTCCATGTCAGAGAGAGGAGCTTTGAGATTGGGAAAGGTGGGAAGCTGACTGGACATGAGCAAGAGGATAATACCAGGTTTCTGGTGAGATGTAAATAAATAAAACAGATGACGTGTCTTTAGAGCAGAGGAAGCTGTGCTTAATCAAACAAGTATAGTGTGTGTGTGTGTGTGTGTGTGTGTGTGTGTGTGTGTGTGTGTTGTGTGGTATGTGTTTGGAGACATGGAGTGTCCCCATGTACAGCAAACTTGTGAAGGTCAAAGAACAAACTCGGGTATCTGTCCTCAGGTGCATTCCACCTTTTGTTGGAGACAGAGTCTCTCACTGTCCTGTAATCTCAGCCTGTAGGCCAGGCTAATATAGCCATAGGTTTCCAGAGATCTGCCTGTTTCCACCTCCTACCTCACTATCTCTGAGACTGTAGGCCTGTGCCACAATGCCAGGCTTCTGTGGGTTCCAGAGATTTGAACACAGGTCCTTACGCTTAAGATGCAAATGCTTTACTGGCAGCCATCTCCCCAGCCCTACCAATGGGTGTCCCTTACAGCAGAATATAAAAAAGATGTGCAAGTGCCAAACACACTCTAAGCAAGAGTCCTGGGCAAGAATCCTGAAGAAGCAAATAATGCAGTGAAAACAGTACTGTTTATGCTTCCAAATCTAGAGAGGAAAGAAAGGACAATTCCAAGAGGTCAGGGAAGCGAAGGGGTGGGGGGTTCCTTTCTTCCCCTTTTATCAACATGCTCTCTTCATATTCTAATAGTAGCCTTGCATTAAAACTGTGTCCCAAAGCAATGGTTCCTCGCTAGATAGCAAAAGTCAACTGCCACTCACAAAACTTCTGAATTCTAGAGGCCCACAGAAGCTTAAACTAGACAACCCATGGTGTCTTTAATCACAAGAAAAGACTTGGTTATTTAAGGCAATCTGCTAGGACTTGAAGGTGGAGCTGGCCACGCCATGATGCTACAGAAATAGCTGACATGGCCTGAGCCTACGACAACTTGGTAGTCTGCTCCGAGGCCATATTCCGTTTTAAAATTTCATCTCACCAAAAGACGGCTGCCTTTCATCTTCTCCTATCACAGCCCTTCTAATAACAAGCCTTCTTTATGGAACATGAAAACAAACAGGCAAAGTAGGCTAATTCATGAATTAACAAGGGTAGGCCTTGCGGTATATCCAACAAGGAAACTCAAGACCAGAAAGCTTCATTACTCTGTGAGTTTTCATATCTCCTCTCATGACTGACAGGTAGCCTTCTAATTTGGTGTTTCTAGAAGCCACTTTGTAGGATTCGGTTTAACAAACGAATACACACACACACATGCACACACACGCGTGTGCTCGCACACACACGCAATCACATAATGCATACCATACATAATGTGTACACAGAGAAAGATATGAAAAATATAAAAAGCACACCACTTTCCATTATTTTCATTTTCTACTAAAACTATACCACAAATTTGAAGAGAACCATTGTCCTTTACTCTTTGAGCCATGATACAAGTGACTTTCATGTTTTCCAAAGTTGGGGGTTGGGCTATGATCAAGACACTTCGACAATTCATTCAAAAGATGCGATGATTACCCAGGATTGAGTTGAACTTTGGGAGCAGCAGCCATGACAGCTGCACAGCCACACAGCACGGGGAGAGCCCCTTTATTTGAGATTTTCATACTATTCTTAAAGATGAATATTAAATAACTTCCTCTGGACCACAGCCATGATTGAAATTAAAAAATAAAAGCCCTATAAATACTGCCAAGTCAGCCTTGCCTCTGTATCTCCCTTCTTGCATAAAATGGAATATTTCCAACCAAGCACTGAAACATAAATATTAAAATAATAAGTGGGATACACTACAAATCTACTTTACAATTTCATCACTACTGTAGCACCTTGTTACCAGGGCCAATGCATTCATTTTTGTAAAGAACACAAGAAATCTGAGAAGCTTGAGGACTCGAATGACTCGTCATTAAATATTTAATCACCTTTTCAAGTCCTAAGCCTTTATCATATTTCATCCATCTAGAGAGTTCATTCTAGACTAGAGATTCCAAGGCCCCCTTTGGAGAGGAAAAAGAAAAAAATTAGGGAGAGAAAACCCTCACAAAGGCAGGGTTCAATGATCTCAAGATGACTTCCTTGTTGGCGCTGTAATGAACTCGCTTCACCCTGTAAACCCACCAATCCACAGTAGGGTCAACCAGTTAAGTCCATGGCTTTTTAATCCCCAAGTATCAGTTTTACGAAAGATGCCACATCCGTTGCTTTGGATTCATGTAGGGTGAAAAATGGATGTTGCTGGGGAAGAGAAGAAAAGTACATGTAATTAACACTTGACAGTGATAATATACAAAATTAGCAAATCAATCTATTTAATGAATAGGCTAATATCTCTATCAAGGCAAACTGGATTTCTCATATCTTCTGCAAAAGCAGGCATGCATCTATTGATGTGCATATTTAAAGGTTATCTCTTTTGATAATCTTATTTTGATCTATCTAGCTTTAAATACAAAGATATGTTAATTTAAATAACATATGCAAGCATGCTACACAATTCTATTCATACAGAACTACAAAGATTGGATAAGACCATCTCTACAAAGTCATTTTATACAGCTGCAATAGTAAAATGACTAAAACTTCATAGGCTTAGATTCATGGGAATAAGAACAGGGTGATAGAACAAGGTATCAATGTCGCTGAACAGTAAATGGGCAAGGAAGGCATCCGTGCCCTTGACATTGGAAAACTGGTTTGAACTAAAACACCTAAGGCCATTTTCTGAGGCCACACCCACAGCTAAGAGCTACATTACATCAGGCTTGAAGGGTTTGCGATCCAGTCACAGAATGACATAGACTGTCATACTAACGGTATGTTCAGAGAAAATTCATCTCGGAGAGTAAAGATTGGAAACAAAAAACATTTCTTTGTATACAGCTCAGACTAAGTCAACTTAAAGAAAGAAAAATACAACAACAACTCTTACATTTCATGGACAAAAGGTAAGGCACCATGCAAGAGCCCACACATTTCCAAGCAAGTCAGATGACTAAGCCGTTTTTCTGTATACAGAACAAGCCTCCTGAATTGCTCAGTGTTGGACCTTAGAGCCTTCAATCTCCAGTTAGAGATATACATTTGATCATGTTCATCAGCAAACTAAGCAAACAAACTCAAAAGAACAATTCCTTCAGCTACCAACAGCACACACCCCCTCAGCCTCATCTACCATACCCAGGTCTCCAACAATCTGGGGGGGGGGGCTACTTTCAGTGGCTGGTTTGAATGGCTCAACATGAGTGTTTTCTCATGCAGACATGAGATGACTCACTCTGTTTCCCTGATGAGGGGTTCAGTTTGCAACTTTCACCCTGCCTACCAGTAGGTTTTCTAATTATATTTGTTGAAACCTGACAGTAGAAGGCTGGGTGAGTCAGCTTTGTGGGGAACTGAATGCCCACCCATGCAAGTTCTAGGAAACAATGCAGTGGGGGGAAGTAACAAGGAAATAAAACCCAAAAGAAAGTAGGTGGTCACTTCTGAGCTCTGTGACTCAGAACATGGAAAGATCTCCTGGTTTTTGCCCATTAGAGGATATGGGTTGAGCGCTGGCTCAGAGCCTTACACCCAATGTGAAGTTCTAGATTCAAGACCCTTCATTCTGAATTTCCCCCATCTGCCAAACAGTGACACCACTTTCAATTACTGACCACTTACACGGCACACTTACCAAGGTTTTATTTTTGTTGTTTTATTTGAACCATCATACTTATTAGCTTTCCCACATCCTCTTGACATTTGGAGATCTTTTAATGTGCTTTAAAAGCTTTTTACTATCAAAACAGAACATGCCAAACCTCAGATTATCTTGATGACTGATTCCAATGCCTGTCAGCCCCACCTTGACACTTTTCTGCTGCTACTCGCTCAGTACATGGAACTTGAGTCCATGAATAAATTAAATAATATGATCTGAAACCCTTAATTAAAAACAAATTCTTGGGGCTAGAAAGATGGTTCAACAGTTAAGAGCACTGGATGTTCTTCCAGAGGACTCTTCTAGAGGACCAAGGTTCAATTCCCAACACCCACATGACAGCCCAGAACTGTCTGTAACTCCATTTCCAGGGGATCTGACACCTTCATACCAATGCTCATAAAATAAAGTTAAATGAATTATATTTTTAAAAAAACAAATTCTATAGGTATCATTTAGTTTATCCCAGACTAAGAAAATACTGTGAGGCCCAGAAGGCAAGCCATTCAACATGCAAGTCTTGTAAGGGACTTTGAAGAGTGTTGAGGACTCGGTTCCTTCTATAAGCCATGACTAGACTAAGAATAGAAATGGCAGCAACCTGGAGATAGGTAAATGGGGTCTTACAAACAATCCCCAGGCTACAGTCCTCCAGTTATTTCCCCCCAAAAAGGGCCAAGTCCAAAGAAGGAGGACTCTAGCATTTAGTATTCCTAGCGTGCCATGAGGACATGCTGCCAGGAGCAGAGAAGCAAGCCCCAATCACTGACCAGCCTCCAAAATATCCCGTGTATACACCTCAACCTCCAGGACTTGGGTTCAGTTACCCTTGTTTTATACTGCAATTCAAATCAAGAACTTTCTCAGACATTTAGAGAAGACAATACCTCACTGAGAAATCATCTAAACAGCCTGGTTACTATTTCTGGCAGTAAGCATCTAAGGCAGGGATAGTCAAACTGCAATACACAGTCCAAAGCTAATTCCCTGTCTATGGTGGTCTGAATGAGAAATGTCTCCCATAAGCTCAGGTGTTTAAATACTTGGTCCCGAGATGGTGATGCTGTTCGGGTAGGTTGAGGAGGTCTGACCTTGCTGGAGGAATTACGTCAGTGGGGGCAGATTTGAGGTTTCCAAGACTCATGCCATTCCCAGTTGGCTCTTCCTGCTTCCTGCTGACTCTTCAGGATGGAATACTTTAGCTTCCCACTCCTGTCACCTTTACTCCATCATCAAAGGCTCTAATCTTCTAGACCTATCTGCCCAAATAAACCCTTCTTTCTCTAAGTTGACTTGGTCATGCTTTATCACAGAAATGCTTCCTGACTTTTCAATAAAACTTTATTCAAACACAGTACATGTTCTTTTTGCTTTCATGTATTGAACACAGATGCTTTGGCTCATTTTGCTCATTTTAACAGCAACTGCATCGCTCATTAGCCTAAAATACTATCTAGAGACCTTTACCAAAAAAGAAAGAGAGAAAAAGAGGAAGGAAGGAAGGAAGGAAGGAAGGAAGGAAGGAAGGAAGGGTGGCTAATATCTGCTGTAGAAGAAAAATGCTACAATGCAGAATTTGAAGGAGATATGCAAATAAAATTGGCATGAGGCATGTATAGCCCACAATCTGAATTCTATAAGGAGTACATATCTGGGTTGGAACCTTGATACTAATATTTCTTTATTTGGAAAATTATCTTTTTTTAACCCTTACTACCTCTTTACAAATTCCTAAAATTGAAACAATAGCCTCCCAGCACATGTTACCCAGTGCTGAAGTCATAGAGTTCCGACTCAGAGTTTCCATTTAAAAACCTCAATTCCACAGGAAAGCAGGGACTAGTTATGGTCTTAAAAGGCAAGTCCATTTCCAGTACCACAACGGCTAATGCCATAAAGGGAGGAGGTTGCCCACACAATCTTACATTAACAGACATGCCAAAACCCCCTCAGTGTTAGTTAGATTGTAGCGGTAAGGTAGACATTAACACCAGATGCCGGCGTATAGGAAATAGGTTTTTCCTCAATTGTCTTCTAATGAAATGTTTAATAAAAGGCCACTTAGATAAAAAGAGAATGTTCTGAACTGTAAACAGCTGAACTACAGAGAAAATGTTCTGATATTAGAAGTAGTCATCATCAGGATTTGAAGTTTCATAGAATCCTACAGGAAATCCTCCCTGTCTATCACACTTCACGTGAAATTATCTTTTAATGTCCAGCCACACCACAAAGGGTCAGTCTGGCCTGAGAGGGCCTCCGATTGTTCATTTAAAAAAAATAATAATAATCCAAAAACAAATATTCCATTTAAGCATGCAGATACATCTTCAAATACCACAGGTCTGTTTTCATAAAGCTGCTGAGTGTTAACTACTGGACATTGCTCTTTTAAAGGGGGACAAGGAGTTGGCCTGACTCCAGTTGTTTCAATCACAGTTTGCTTCAGCTTAAATAAACCAAAGCTAATACCCAGATCTAAAACAGCACATGCCAAGATGATTTCACAGGTCATCTTTTTATAACACTTGTGTGTGTGTGTGTGTGTGTGTGTGTGTGTGTGCGCGCGCGCGCAGGAAAGTGGAATGTTCATGTGAGTATGGGAGTACAGAACCCACAGTGGCCCCACATCAATCCCTCTAGAGTTGGAGTTACAGAGCCCAACCCCTGAGCTATCTCCAACCTCTCTTCTATTATTCTTATGGATGTTTCCAAAATGCTCTTCCTCTGTGTCCCAGCTACCACAATACACCTTTCAAAAAGGAGATAAGAGGAGCCTGCACTCCCTACGATGAACTCAGCTGGGCTGGATGGGGAGGCTGAGGGGAGGACAGAAGAAAGCACTTAGTGACTGCTGCTAGCAGGCCCACTAATAAGGATCTCAAATTTCACTCTTTACTCTCTTGGGACTGGACAACATCATAATTCTCCTATGGTGCTTACCTTCCACTAACAATTTGGCATAACCCAAAACCACCTGGGCAGAATCTCAGTAACAGATTATCTACCTTGGGTTGGCCTATGGGCATGTCTATGAGAGACTGCCTAAATCTGGTTAATTGATATGAGAAGATACAGCTCATTGTGGGTGCCACCATTCCCTAGGCAGAGGGTCCTGGACTGTTTTAAGAGTGGTGAAGTCAAGCTAAAGGCAAATAAGCAGCTAACGTTTTGCTTTTGTTTTTTGTTGTTGTTGTTGTTGTTGTTGTTGTTGTGTTGTTTTTCTGTCACTGCTCTTGACTGTTAGTAGGATATGATGACCTGCCTTGACCCTCTGCAGCTCTGACCTCCTGTGAGTGGTAAGATAGCCTAGAACTGTACAACTAAAATTAAGCCTTTCTCTCTTAAGTTGCCCTTAAGAAGGGAAAAAGGACAAGCTCTCTTGAGCATATTGGGGGGGGGGGGCAGTGAGTGGGGAGAGAGCTAGGAGAAAGAGAAGAGGAGGAGAGGAAAGCATGTGGGACTAGGAAGATTGAGTCTGGGGAGCAATAGACAAGAGAGGGGGAGAGAGGGAGAGAGAGAGAGGGAGAGAGAAAGAGAGAAAGAATAAAAGAGGAAGCCATTATAGGTTTCAAGAGAAAACTGACCCTAGAGAAATGTCCCTAGACTTACAAGACTGACCCCAACTAACAATTTGAGCAACAGTGGAAAAGCTACCATAAATGCCCTTCCCTGATAATGAGATTGATGACTAACTTATCCACCATCATAGATCCCTCATCTAGTAGCTGATGGAAACAGAAGCAGACACCCACAACTAAACAATGAGCCGAACTGCAATCCAGATGCAGAGAGGGAGAACAAGACCAGGTTACACAAACACATAGAGAAAGCTGACATGAACAAGGAGGAGATAACGGGCCCCCAGATTGATAGCTAGGAATCCAGCACTGGACCAACTCAGACACCCTGAACATGGGCCTCAGTTAGAAGGCATGGGCAGTCTATGGGACCTCTGACAGTGGAACCAGGATGTATCCCTGGTGCACAAAAGGACTTTGGGAGCACATTCCCCATGGAGGGATACTCCCTTAACCTAGAGGCAGGAGGGAGGGCCTAGTCCCTACTCCAAATGACTTGACAAATTTAGATGACCCCTCCTGGAAGACATCACCCTACATTTGGAGTGGGTAGGGGGAAATGGATGGGAGGGTGGGAGAGGGGTAGGTAGGATGGGAGGGAGGGAGAGGGAATTGGGATCGATATGTAAAATAAGAAAAATAAATAAATAAGATAAATCTGAGGTGGTGGGGAGCAGTAAACACAAATTCACATATAGCCTAAATTTTGTAGTTCTCTCTAAAATGTATTCATCCCACACTCAATATCTATTTTGGTAGAAACACTATTACACAGCAACAGTGCTGGGGTTTTGTTTTCATCTATATTTTACTGATAGCACAAACAATAAATATGGAAGCAGAGACTTTACTATATTTCTCACCACCAAAATGAAGATCAAAATGTAAAGAAAAAGAAATTCATCTAACCTGTCCAAGAGCTGTTATGAAAATCTCATGGACCACAGGGCTGTAAGCTATCTCACTGGTCTCTGAACTCACATTTACAGTGGGAATCTTCCAAATTCAAAAATACAAATTTCATGAACATAAATTCTTTCCAGGCTTACCAACATGGAATCCATCACTTTGAAAGATGACATAGTCTGAGCTTGCATAAAAAAAACACAAACTGAACATAAGCTAGTAAGATGATTCAGCAAGTAAAAGCACTTGCTGCCAAGTCTGATGATCTGAGTTCAATTAGGAGAAAACTGACTCTAAAAAGTTGTCTTTTGACCTTTACATGTGCATTGTGACACATGAATACCCACAAACATACAAATACATGCACATAAAATAAATATATTTTTAAAGGATAAACAATGAGGAAGGGCACTTAACTCTTTCTTTAGTCTAGTTCCTGGGAATTAACCATATGTCAGTGAATCAACCTCTCCTCGTTGGTGATTTACTCATCATCTTAGTCATGCCTACTTCCCTGTTAGTTAGTTGGTTAGTTGGTTAGTTAGTTAGTTAGTTAGTTAGTTAGTTAGTTAGTTAGTTAGTTAACACATACCAAAGTATTCACACTCACCATAAGCTCTGGATATGTGGGCCGTTCTTTGGAATTTTTCTTCAAGCTTAAAAAAAAAGAAAAAGAAAGAAAATTATCACATTAAAATTTTAGAAACCATTTTTTCACTGCTAGGATTTTAGAACCTGTGTAAAACTGACCACAAACAGAAAACAGGCTTCCTATCTCAACTTCTATTGAAAGTTATGAACTCTTACAAATTATATTTTAAACCACTTTGGGCTTAAATGAGTAAGTGTAGGTGTAGAGTGTTTATGTGTGTTTATTTTTCCTTTAATACATCATGAATAGCATTCGGTCTAGCTTCTCTGATCTAGAGCCATTACATTTCAAAACCTATATGCATGTTACTTCACGGTAGCTTTTTAATCCTACCTCCTGGAAAAGAAGTCAGCAAATGTTTCTTATAGGACACTAAGCACTTTTTACTGCCTTCAACTGCAGGTTCCTCCCTGTTGGGCTTCCCATCCATATATAACTTAACTGGCTTTCATATGCTCCTACCCAAACCTGCCTGGGACAGAAACCACTAACCTAAAGTGGAGGTACTTGTTCACTGTGTATTAGTGTATTTAAAAAAAAAAAAAAAAGGAAAGTATATTCAGTCAGCAAATTAGCAATTATTCTTAGAAATAGTTTGTGGTTGTACAGTACTGTCTGGTGGTCACTCAGTTCTCTGAATACCCAGACATTTAATAACATTTGATACCAGAGGCAATCGTCATAAAACTACATGAAAGAGACCAAACCCATCACCCCTGTCCTCAACCCATCCCTATTCTCTTTCCACCCATGGCTCTAAAATGGAAAAAGAAAAGAAACAGTTTACTTGGTGTTAGAGTTCTAGGTTATAGAATGGAGAAGAGGATGGCCTTTGGAAACTATGATGTGCAAAACGATCTACAGTTTTCTGTAGCCACTGGGCCGTAAAAATCATACATAAATGGAAAGTTGTCAGTAAGGTCAAAGAACCACAATGTGACAGCATATTGGGTTCCTAACATTTGTGCTGACAGGCCCTTTTGAGCAAGAGAGGTCTTGGACATGGACACGTGACTAGGGTTCTGCTGCGCCCACCCACAGGAGCTAATCACCGCGAGGGGAACAAAGTTCAATACTGTGGGAGAGTGACATCATTAGAAGACACGGCTTTAAGCAAAATTAAATTCTCTTTAAAAATACAAAGGAGAGGAAGCTTTTGAAGCAAAACAACTTTAAAGCAGCCTACCAGTTTATTCCAGGCAATGTTGTGGGTAGAAGCCAGGGAACCTGAGACAGGGTACAGGTAGAGGGGAGGACAGAAGTTCCAACCTGGAACTGAGGACAGACCTAGGACCTACCAGACAACCTATGAGAGAAAGTTCATCTCAACCGGGGATAAAAATAAGAGTGCATTAGAAAAAAGAATCATCAACTGTCAGCGTGGGACTGATATGAGAATGTGTGCCTGGGTGAAATGAATGAATTTTTAACCAACTCATGGCTTTGATTTGCCTATATCCTAAGAGTCAATGTTGGTGGTTCCCAATGGTGGTGATTCTCTAACTCCACCCCAGGGGACGTTTCTCAATTTCTGGAGGCATTTGTGGTTGGTGCAACTAGTTGGAAGTGTTATTTCTAGTATTTGGCAGAAGCCAATGATGTTGTTAAGCATCCTTCAATGTACAAGCCAATCTCCCACAACAAAGACAATCCAATGCCCTTGGTACAGACATCGAGAGGTCAAGAATCCTTGGACTGTGTGTCCCTCTTTTTTTTTTTTTTTTGGTTTTGTTGGTTTTTTGGTTTTTGGTTTTGTTTTGTTTTTTCCAATTTCTTATTTCCTTCTCTAAAATGGAACTCATTTGGAAGATCATCTCCAGTTGGTCCATATGCTATTGGTTTATATTCTCATCATGAATACCTCCTACCTCTTTCTTCCTAGAAACTAAAGACTGTCTAAATTCAAGCATTAACTGAACTGTCTATTGAAGGCATTACTGCTTTGCACATAGATCCTAATTATTAGTAGTATTAGTATTATACAGAAGCCCAAATATCAAAGCAAATCTAAATGTAGAAATTCTTCTCCAATGGCTAAACAACTTAACTTATTAAATCAACAAAAAGAAACACAAACACAACATTAAAACTATACTCAATATTCAGCAAGATGGTTCAACTGGTCAGGGCATTTGCTGCCAAGTCTGGCAACCTAAGTTTAATCCCTGGGACCCACACAGTTACCCTCTGACCTCCATGTGTGCTCCATGGCAGCATAGACCCCGCACAGAAAGAAAAGGGGAAGGGGGAAGGAAGGAAATAAAAAATCTTTAAGGCACATTAAATCCAAAACACTCTTAAGTTCCACCTTCCCATGACTAATGTTTTACTCAATAGCAGAACTAAGGAAATTATTAGCCAAGAGAAACATCTTGATCTTTAAATGTTAAAATAATGGGTTCTTGTAATAACTAACAATCTCCAAGTTGGTCTTAAGGCTTTAACAGTTCCTTTCTTTTTTTTCCTGTTCTTGTCATTATGACACTGAAGAGGGAACCCAGGACCTTGCACAGACTAGGCAAGCACTCTATCACCTGGCTATAACTGCAGCTCTTTGGTTTTCGACTTTGAAGTGAAAGTGGCCTTGAAACTGGACATTTTTATTCTCCAGGACCGTTTAGAAAATTTCCTCCCTTGCTTTAATCTGTTTTTTCTTTTTTTTTTTTTTAATTTGTTTTTGTTTGGTTTGTTTTGTTTGTTTTGTTTTGTTTGTTTTGTTTTTGCTGTTGTTTGTCTGTTTGTTTGTTTGTTTTTAGATTTACAGACTTTGGATAAAGCCACCCTAGTTGATCAATGAGAAAGTGTTTTATGATTCCTCAAGCCCTAGAGGCTATTGCCCAACTGTACAATTAGCTACTTCCTGACTTCGGGCCCCTGGTCAGAAAGGAAAGTTTGCCTCTAAAGAACTTCCACAGCAGCTGTATGTGGTAATGATGCCTGGAATTCCAGCACTTAGGAGGCTAGCCTAGGCTACAGGGGGGACATTTAGGAAAGCCTAATGATTACAGTAAAACCTATCTAAAGAGGAAGGAATAATAGAAGGGTGGGAGGGAGGGAGGGAGGGAAAGAAAGACCATTCATTGAATTAGTACAACAGATCTAACCTATTCGCTCCATCTTTTAAATCAAAAACACTTCAAAAGAGGCACTAAGAATAGTAAAAAAATACCCAAGATAAAATTGGGGAGGAAACAAGTTTCCATGTTAAGTAGGAAATGCTTGAAATTCAGTATAAAATAACAACCTTGGAGTTCAAAGGTGCACCACTTTCTTCTTGGATCGAAGTCTGACTTTTGAATATTCGAGTGGCTTGTCATTTTCAAGTGTGTAATTAGCTAGCTTCTCTAATTCCTCTTCCAAATGCCACAACACAGGCTTCTGACCGTGGCTGACACTACAAAACAGATCCGTGCTGTCTCAAGAATTGCTAGCTTGAAGTTTATGCTGACCAGAGGCTTTCTGCCTATTTGGACTCCCCTTGATCATTTCCAAGAAGGGCTATTTGGTGCGTCCACAGAATAAAAACACAGTGTGCCTCTGAGGCCATACATTTGTCAAAAGATAAATAAATACCCACTACCTCTTTTACTGTCCTTTTTCTGAACAAACAGACTGTGCTTAATCGACTGTTTCATTCTCTGAGCCAAACAGTATTGACATCTGGACATCTGGAGTGTGGAGATGGGCTTCTCGGCTGGGCACTGAGACTCCAAAGTAGGACTGAAGGAAATGCAAATGTAAGTCGAACTACTGTAGCAGCAGGCAGCTTGTCTCTAGTGTCTTTCTTGTGTGAAGAGGTTCTAGTGAAAACTACGGAGCTGCTGGGCCAGAGAGCAGGCTCAGTACAGAAAGCGCACAACCTGAGTTTCATCCCCAAAACCCACATAAAAAGCCAAGAACAGCAGCCCACACTTCTAATGTGAGCACTGAGAAGGTAAAGACAGGAAGATCCTTGGGCTTCCAAGGCAGTCGGCCTAGCTGACTCAGACAGTGTCTCAAAAATCAAGGCAGATCATACCAGGGAAATGACACCGGCAGTAAAACCTCTGCTCCCATCTCTTGTACACATTACACCTACATATACACAAAAATATATGTGACATACATGCGTGAACAGCTATATACACTCAAATACATGCACTATATATATATAATATATATGCACGTACTACAAAAACATATGAACCATATATATATGTGTGTGTGTGTGTGTGTGTGTGTGTGTGTGTGTGTGTGTGTGCTCCATCTGCTAAGACTACATTTTTAAAAATAAACTCTTACATTAAAACTTCTACAAGTCTAGACTGCAAGGATTTCCTATTAGAATTCAGTATCTTGCATCCAAAACAAAGGTCTATTCCATCATGCAGTGGTTTGAAAGAGAAATCTCTCCCCCTAATGTCTCAAGCATTTGAATACTTGGGCCCCACTTGGTGGCACTGTTTGGAGTGGTTTAGAAGGTATGGCCTTGATGGAGGAAGTATGTCACTGTGGGGCTAGCTTAAGACTTCTCCCTACTTCCTGTTCATTCTCTCTGCTTCCTACTTGAAGTTCAAGATGTACACTCTTGGCTTTTGCTCCAGCCACCATGCCTGCTGCTTGCTGCATGCCTTCCTGTCATGATGGGATTATCCCTCGGAAACCATAACCTCTTATTTCTATAAATATCCTTGAGTGTGGTGTTTCATCACAGCAATAGATAGGTAATTAATATAGGCCAGTACTACCCACCTTAGGAATTATTTTAAAACTCAAGATAAAAAATGCATACTGGAGGAAAGGAACAGCTTTCAGTTGTGCTATTTTGAAATAAAAACCTAAATGAAGAAATATTTCTGAGAATCATTGTTTCTCTGTTTTCCTTTGAAATACTCCAAGATACTGACACAGGCAAGAACCTTGAAAAGGGCTCCAATACTATAAAAGATAACCCCAAGAATTCACTAGTGGGATTACATGAAATTAAAGTTTCTTCACAACCAAAGAAACAATTACCAGAGTGAA